AAAAGAAAAGAAAAAGAGGGAAAAAAAAAAAAAAGAGCGATTTTTGGGTCTTTCCAGCAATTCCACGCGAACGCACTCCTAAAGCCGAAAGGCTGGAAACGTTTGCCCGGGCTCTCGGGATTTTGGGAATGCCTTCTTTCTTTCTTTTTTTTTTTTTTCGGTTGTTTTTAAGGGTTTTCTTTGTTAAAGATTAAGGAGCGAAAGGGACGGCGGTTCCCAAGCGGCGGGGGGAAACGGCCACTTTTCATCTATTAAAAGCGAAGGTGTGAATAAACACTTTTAAAGATCCCTGACACTTGCTTGGACCGAAAGAGTAAAAGGCAAGTTGTCAGGAGAGGAACTTTCTTTCCCCAAACAGCCCTCGGAGGGGGCGGCAGGCAAATTAGGCAAGAAAAAAAAACTTCTATCCAAAGCTTTTCCCCTTCCCCAAATCCTTGCTCACCCGACTTTTTTTTTTTTTTTTTTTTCCTAAAAAACTTCAATTTAGCGGGTAGCTGGGAAAAAAAAAAAAAAAAAAAAAGAGGAGATCTCATCCAAACTAGGAAAAAAAAAACCCCCACAATACACATGGCAGTGCATGCCGGTAACCTCCAACTCAAATTAAAGTGACTTTCTTTTTTAAAGAAAGGGGTCTTTTTGCCCATTGCACTGCACCTTTTGTCAGCAAGTATATTAAAAAAAAAAAAAAAAAAAAAAAAAAGAGGGGGGGGAAAGGAGGGAAAATGGAAAATAATAATAATAAAAAAGTTATGTTTACTCCCAGCTAGAAGTTATCTCCCGAAAGTGAACCGGTAATATCATCACTAACACAGCAAAACGCTCCGAGACATGCACACATTCAAATATTTCAAGCACTGGTGACTTTAAAAAAAGACATCGGGTAGGAGCGAAGCTACAAAACCAACAAATACAGAGGCTCGGACATATTCACTTACATGCCTGCATGTCATTAATGTATAGAAAAAAGCTTGCCTTTTTCCGCGAGAGCTTCGGGATGGGGAGGTAAAAGAATCAAGCAAAATATCAACAAGACACAGGTTTTTTTAAGCCCACGAGTAGAACTGAGAAATCCTCCCGCTTTGTGCCCCTGCTCCAAAAACAGGAGAGGGGGTGGGAGAGGAGGGGGGGGGGAGGGAAGAAAAAAGGAAGAAAAAAAAAAAAGGGGGGGAAAAAAAAAAAAAAATTCCAGATTTTAACAATCCCCCTCTGGTGACAGCCCCCCCTCCGGTGGCCGCAGCCCCTCCCCCAGGGCCACCGTTGTCCCTGCCCCCACCAC